TAATTCAAGCAATTCCTTAAGTAGTAATTGCTATTTGTATTTACATAGCTGCTTTGATCCAAGAGGCTCAAAGGACTTACTAAATTTAGCATTTTAATAAATGTTTCATTTGCACTCAGTTGATTTCTGTTTACTGACAGCAAAACTTGGAATTTTTCTAAAGGGGAGACAGTCGGTGAAGTTAAAGAACAAGACAATATCTTCACATCCGCAAGCATCCCAATCCCAAAGTTTTGTCCTGCTATAGAGAAAGTCAAGACTCCCTGGTTCCTCCTCAATACATAAAATGGGAGTCACAGGTTTGCATGCACCTGCTCCTTCCTGTGGCTCCTGTCTGGCTTCTGCCCACTGAACTCCATCCTGGCCACGCTTCTCTGAGGTATGACAACAGAGGTATGCTTATTGCATCAATGGATTTATATATAATCAGCACAATAAACATTATTAAACTGTCGGGAGAAAATCAAGGCATGAAGTGTGGTACCAGTACTGAATTCTAATGATGCCTGGGGTCCGGGACTGCACGGGGACGGGTTGTTAACAAGCCTTGATTTGAGCGTTGGCATCCGCCTCACAAATCACACGGACCGCTCCTCCCTCCCAGAACCGTGCTGAATATTGATAAATGCTCTGCCCTGCACAACAGGGAAGTGGGTTTCTATTGGCAATCTTTACCAAAGTGTGTTTTTTCCCTTCCCTACACTCAAGGGTTTACCCTGAATGATTTAATTATAATTTTCCTTGTGTAAGACAAATTAAAGAGGAGAGTAGGAGTGTCGTGCCAAGCACATTATTTATCTCCTTAACAGATTGCAGCTCACCAAACCCCAGAGCTGCTGCTGTGGCTGTGGCTGCTCACAGGAGCTGCAAAATGCATGGGGCCGGAGCAGGAGGATACGGTGTCTAAGGCCGCAGGAACCCGGGCAGGGTGTTAGCTATCCAGCTACTCTGCAACAAACACCAACTCTTCCAGCGCTACCTTCTTCCAACCTCATTTCCAGAGCGCTCCTAAATCCCTAACATTCTCAAAGCTACTAACCCAGTCTAGAGTTTGGAAGGTTAGACTCTTGGTAGGTGTGTGGGGACTCCTGTTTGCCCAGTTACTGTACTACCACATGGGGAAGAAAAGAGGTTTAAGAGACATCACAGGAGAACATGGGGAGACATGAATTTCACAAAAGCACTGGCTAAGTCAAGGATCAGATATCTGTATGACAAGATTGTCTTGAGGCCAGTGCCAGCCCCAGGTACAAGTGAAGACGTACTTTCTGCACTGACTACTTTTTTTCCCTCCTCTCTTTTTTATCGTTTTCTATTTAAACCTGGTATCATATATAAGATGCAAAGATTAACCATAATAAGCTAATGGCACATGACACTCTAAGTATGTACCTCTATCCAAAGCTGGCTAACATTATCGATGTTTTCACAGTCAATTCTATACCACCAAGTAGATGAGTTACTTTTCACTGAAAGTATTCCATTTGTCATCCTAGATGTGTTCAGTTAAAATGTGCTGGTCAGGGTTGCCGGTGGGCGTGAATGGTGTAATGTGTGCTTGGTTTAGCATGCATGAAGTCCTGGGTTTGATACCCAGTGCCAAAGATAAAATAAGATGTCCATCTAAGAACCTACCAGGTAATATAAACTGAGCAAACCAAGAGATAAGTTAATGGCATATAATTCCACCATTGCTTCCTCTTTGCCTGTTCAATTGAACAACTCAGGCCGTTATTATATCCAGATTCAGGCTCATAGAAATCTGAATTCTCATCCCATCCACTGTCAAATTTGGGCATGGAGAATAATGAAGATTAAACACGACATTTATTCAGACAAATAAAGACCACTAAAAAAAAATCAAACAAATTTAGTCTTTTGGAATTAGACTGTCTCTTAGATCCATTTACTTTCAAATGTGCCTTAAGACCTGAAAAGGGCTATTCTTCTACTGCTCGCCTCCATTTAAGCTATCACCTGACTGCAGACATATAACCTTTTAAGATGAAACTGAGCCCAGTGCATCTAAACAAGAAGAGATTTCTGTATCCCAGGAAATCTGTGCAGGCTCCACAGTGGCTGACAAGATTACAACAAATACCTTAAGTGCATCAGTCGGCATTTTTTAGTGTATGGGCCCTGCTCTGCCTATGGATAAAGATGTGAGTCAATTGCTCCACAGTAAATGGAAGGCACCAACTTCAGGACGTGAACAGTAAGAGCAGCAAACGAGGACAGTCTAGAACGTTTCCTTTAGAGCAAGCTAAGGATTTCTAGTTTGAAAAAATAAGTACTACAGACATTATAAGAGATTCCAAAGCAAGTGCTGAGATTGGCTTCCAGACAGACATCCACTTCTACCCCCAAGAGGAGAGGAAGCTGCCTTTCCCCTAATGGCTCCAAACTGAATCTCACTACCATTCTTCCTCTTCTTCTTCTAATTTTTTGATCAGTTGTGGGACTTGAACTCAGGCCCTGAGCACTGTCCCTGAGCTTTCTCACCCACACTTAGCATTCTACCACTTTTAAATCACAATGCCACTTCTTCTGGTTTTCTGATGATTAATTAGAGATAAGCGTCTGATGAACTTTTCTGCCCAGGCTGGCTTTGAATTGTGATCCTCAGATCTCAGCCTTCTGAGGAGCTAGGATTATAGGTGTGAGCCACCAGCGCCCAGCCTTCTTCCTCTTTTTTAATATTTTTAATTTTTTTTGTGTGTATGTGCCAGTACTGGGCTTGAACTCAGAGCCTGAGCATTGTCCCTTAAATGTTTTTGTTTTGTTTTTCCACCAGCACCATTTGTGGCTATCTACTGATCATAACTGGAGATAAGAGTCTCATGTACTTTCCTTCTGGGGCTGGCTGACTTCAATCCTCCTATCCTAGCCTCCTGAGTAGCTAGGATAACAGGTGTGAGTAACTGGCACCAGCCTCACCATTCTATTCTTTAACCTCTTCTACGCCAGTAACTTGAAAGCATCCCTTAGTTCTTAATTATCTACCACAGATATTCCTACAAACTTTAGAGGCGAGGTTCAAATGTGGGCCAAAACAAAAACATTCTTCTCATCTCTAAGAACTGTTGATGATGCTTATGCTGAACATAAATCACAGACAGGCACAGATGTGCATAGCTCTGCGTGTGTGTAGACACAATCATGTGTCACTTAACATCCTAAGAAATATATCTCAGGATATAGCTTGGGCAATGTAGCATTAGGTGACTTTGCTAGTATGTGAGCATCATTGGATGTACTTACACAAACCTACATTGTACAGCTTACCATAGCTCTAGGCCAAATGGGGTGTGTGTGTGTGTGTGTGTGTGTGTGTGTGTGTGTGTGTGTGAGAGAGAGAGAGAGAGAGAGAGAGAGAGAGAGAGAGAGAGAGAAAGAGAGAGAGAGAGGGGCTTACTCATAGGGCCATGATGAGCAAACAAGCACAAGACTGAATTTAGCACAAGAGAAAAAGCTGCCATCAGGTAACATATGATGTATGGATGAGGCTGTTGCCAACCTACTATCCTAGCACAGAATACCAAGTACACCCAACATATTCTATACAGGTAAAAAATCTATTCTAAAATAATGATCATTAGGAGCAGTGGGTACATGAACCAGTCAGTGCTGTTCACTGTTATTACCAAGTATAATACTGTGTTCATAACTGTATGTGCTCAAGTTTTATATGACGAAGTCTGGGAGGAAGGCCTGGTGCTATAATGGTACAATGAACACCAGGTCGCTAGGTGATGGGAAATCTTAGGCGATCACCACTGTATTGTGATTCACTGTCGACTAAAGGTTCTTTATTTGGAACTTCATGATATATACATTCAGATAATATTTTCTGATACGAATATATATATATATAATTAAAACAGCAGGCTTAACACTCAATATTTTGAGAAATACATTAAATTATACTTATAATTGCTTAACTAAAATGCATAACTAAACCTTTTCTTCACTGAATCATTTTCATTTAAAAACAACAAAAAATATAGAATTTGCTTTTTTCTTTTCCTGATGGAAAATGGCATTTGGTATCACATGCTACTTTGAAGGTTTCTTCTCTTCCTACGTCTGCAAGCTCTGCATATGAAATATAGATGAAATATTTTTAAAATAGTCAACAGAAAAAAAATTGTTAATTTTAGAAGCGTTATATATTCCACTTTGGATAAGCATTTCAACAGCAGTATTAATAATGTTTCTAGGTGCTAGGATATAATATGAATGAACAGCTTTATTTTCTTAGAACTCCATGCTAACATGATATATTCCGGATCTCTAAAACAACCCTAGCTTCAGCTAACATTCATTTGAATCTTGAGGCCTTTAAGAACATATCTCAACCTCCAAACAGGAATACAGCAATATGGATGATGTTCATATATTTCAATCACAAGAAAATATGCTGTAGGTGCACGTGAATGATCACATACCACACCCTTCCATCCCTCCATCCTCCCCACTTCCACCTCCCATCCCCATATCTATCCTAAAAAGGCCACATGGTTTGGGGATAGACCATGAAAAAGATGGCTTCCTGCATTCAAGAGGGACAGTGTAGACTATCATAAGTTTATGCTTTTCCAAACCATGGTTCAAAATTGCCCACAGCAGATATTACTGTTCCCTGAAGGTGTTTAGAACCAAGGAATTCAGCTTGTATGGCGAGAGCACTTGGCAGAAAGAATTGGCCTGGAAGTCTTGAAATCCAATCCCTCCAATGAGAAATTCCAAGGCTTCTGCCTGTACTTCTACACTGAGAATACATCTGCAAAAGTGCTAATTCCATGTTAAAAGGTGAAAATAATTAGATGCTTCACACCCAAACCCTACTGAATACATCCTTCATGTGTATATAATTATATGCACATTCAAGTCACACGAGAACTCAATTAAGGACCACGGAGATATGGCAGGGCTAGGCCACATCTGCCATGGGCCACGTGGCCCTCCCTGGGTAAAAATGGACGATGGCTCATTCCTACCTTTCCCTTTTGGGAGTGTGGACCGAGAGCTGTCCATTGGTAGAGGCATGGGGGTTCATGATTAAGGAGGTCTTGGAAGGTGCAGAGGAAGAGACGCATGTCGTGGTCAGATCCAAACTGCTGTGATTGTTGCCCGTGGTTTCTTCTGCCGAGTGAGCACTTGTCACTTCTTTCCAGAGCTGCTGCAGTTCTGTTGGAATCATGCCTGAAACAAACAAATTGGATAATTAAATCAATTAACAGCTAATTCCGTCCTCTTCAAACAGTAATTAAATCAAAGAGTCAGTAAACAAAGCCTAGTGTTAGGGGGCTTTTTGGTGTGTGTAGGTTGGTTTTTCTTTTTTTTTTTTTCCTCCCCCTTCCCCTCCCAACTGAGGCAAATACAGTAGCAATAAACCTCTCTCACAGAGCGGCCCAGCTGAAAGGCTCTCAGCCCACATGACAGACACCCAGAGAAAGGATTCAAACACTGGTATTTTGTAACAACAGTCTGCCTCCATCCATCCAAAATGTGGTTTCTCAATTTTAGGAAAAACGTAGAGAGACACTACCATATTTTTAGACACCCAGAAGGGCTTGAGATAAATTTGTTCGACTATATCCTTATGACAACATGAGCTACAAAATGAATAATTTTTTGTGCTTAAGTCTTAAATGATGACAAATAGCTTTGTTATTAAATATAGTTTTTATTAATCACTTTTAGACATAAATTATGAATTCATATCGCCTTCCTGAAATGCTTCTCAACTTTTAACAGTCAAATTGATTATACTATGATTATTTCATTAACACACCTATCTTCCTCATTAATTTTGGCTTCTAGTACCACATGCTTAATTGATGGATGTGTCTACTGGAAAACTGTGTAACTTTTTTATACAAGTAACACTATTATTACTGTCATTTCTTAGATCAGTGCTAATGAACCATTACGGAATAAAATGAAAACGTAAAATAAGCTTAGAGTAATAGAGTGCTCCTGTTTTTTAAGGGGGGGGGGTCACAAATGGACAGGGGTTTTAAGAAGAAAGTGTCAACCCGTATTTTTCCCAAGAAGAGATACAATCAGGACCATTAATCTCACTGTCATAGAGTTCTAAGTCTTTATCCCCACAGAATGACTGCACAGGCCGGGCTTCTACATCCAACTTCAGTGCATATCCTAGTGCATGCAAGCACACAGAAGACACAGGCTCTGAAATTCACCTAACGCCACCAACCAACAGAAGCAGCTTCCTTTGAAAGAGCACCGAGAAGAACTCCTATACCCGGCACCCATCCTAAGGTGACTCCACATTAGAACTGGTGTCTCGGGATTGTAGTTCGTTGTTTCAATCAAGGGTAACACAGCTATTAGAAAAAGGGGGCCATTTTCTGGGTTATAAGAACAGCAGCTGAAACAGGCATGTTTCTTACCACACCAAAAGGTATTGAATTAAAGAAGAAGGCTGTGTGCATTATATTCATTTGAAACACATAATAAAAAAAAATGCCAAGGTCTAAATTTAATTTATTTTTGCCATTTAGAATACAATGGATAGATAATCATCTCAACGTGATCAGCCAAACATCTTTACTTTGCTAAACTGTTAAAGATTTTAATTATGCTAGCATTGGAGAGCAGTGGTCTAATGAGGCGATGGACTCCAGAGAATCCCAGTGGTTAAGAACTGTGAAATGAGTCTGATAGGATTTTTTTATATTCACCGTGGATCGTTTGCATATCAAAGAGGAGTAAATTATTGCACAGTAGACCAATAACCTTCCCCGCCTTTCTGAGAGGAGCATTAACAAAAACAGTTGGTCTCTCCTAAGGGTTCACGTCTCCAGGAAAAATGTTCCTATGCTCAAGTATTTGCAATTAATATATAGTATAAAGGTGCCTCCAAATGATGCATTAAGTGGTAAAATACCCTTAACATGCATCCTCCAGCAGCAAACTCAGTTTTCTTCTCCCTTCATAAAAAAAAAAAAAAAATCAAATGCCAATTATATTTTGATGGATTTTGTCCCAAATGAGCATTTAGTTATTAGGCATATTCAATTATTACTTGTCCCCTGAAATTAAACCTCAGAGGCAGATTAAACAAAAGGAAAGGTCACCACACAATCCCATGTCCAGTTTTGCTGCATCTGGGCTATTATTTTCAATCACCTTTCCAAGTGACAGGTGGGCAGTGTTGCAGCTAGCAGGCGTACCTCTGTGCTCCACACACCGACAATTACCTGTGACTACGCCGACCCTCAGGCCACTATTGACTCAATAGAAACAACCCTGCCTAGCCTTGTCTGCTGATGACAGCATCTTGGTAGAAAAAGCACACAAGTCAACACCTATTTTTATTTTCTAGCACGTCAACACGTGAAAAGAACAAATCTCCAATTTTTCAACTCCAACTAATTGATTCGTGGGTCCGTTGCCCGAGAAAGAAAAAAAATGTGGTTCTAACAAGTACGTTAACACCTTCCTTCAGAGCAAAAGCAGCACTTTGAAGATGCTTCAAAAGTACACTGTTTATGTACAAATCAAGACAAACGTGTAACACAGTAGCCACTTGTTACACCCAAAACATTAGCGTGACTTCTTGTCACTCCTCATTCCAACAGGATGACACACTGGTGGTGTGCTGGTACGCACACGTCTCAGCACACGACAAAGTGGTACATCTTTGTTCAACCTTCTAGTGGCAGTTATACACAAGAATATTCTCATCAGCCTTAACAAAGAGGCAGTCAAATTGCTCTCCTCATCTCCTCACTCATGATGGTCAGTAGTGAGCTTAGTGAACAGTACCCATCAAAGGCCTCTGCTACTTGACAGCCAAGATCTAAGGGTAGAATTAAGACTAATAAAAGAGAAGCTAATTACCCATCTGAATTATCTGAATATCCAATCTCCAGAAAGCACCCATTTCTTTCCAAGGGGAAAGAGTAACAACTTAGACAAATCCATGAACAAGCACATAACCAAGCGTGCAATTTTCTTCTACTTAAAGAGTTTACATTTTTAAACCTGAAAAGGTTGACATGATAGTAACAGAATATTTCTATATAAAATTACTGGTGCTGGGGAGGACCAGAGGATGAAAATAGATATGGTAATTATGCAAAAGAGAAGAGAACCCTGTAATAATCTGAAAAACAGCAACAAAAATTATGCCTTCATTTTATAATATAAAACCTCTAGGGGCTGGGGGGGAGAGTGAGGAAGGTCTTCAAAATATCCCTTTCTCTCTCTACATTTTGAGATGTCCATACAGATTTAAAGTAACTTAGCAAGGCCATAAACAGGTATGTAAAAAAATCTTGATGATTGTATTAGGAAGCCAGCATTACCAGCATTTTAAACACAAACCCCCTGTGCCTGGCTACATTTCTCTCTCTGTGTGTGTGTGTGTGTGTGTGTGTGTGTGTGTGTGTGTGTGTGTGTGTGTGTGTGTGTGTGTGTGTGTGTGTGTGTGTGTGTGTGTGTGTGTGTGTGTTTCAGGACAACTCGTCCCTTTCATTATAAAAGAAAATGCAGGCGCAGGTTTAAAAAATGTATGTTGTGGGGACAGTTGACAGATTACTGTTCATGGAACTCAATTTTACAACCCCAGGTATCACTGGCTCAAAGACAAACAGAGTTGATCAACCTTTTTCTGTCCTTGTGCATCCATACCCAGGTGACCATGTTCAAGCAAGCAGAAAGTTGATTTAAACCTCATAATGACATCAGTTTTAAGCCATCATCTCTCTGATAAAAAAGAATTGTGTTGTAGTCCAACAGGACTGAATTCTCAAGCCACTTTGGCTGAGGGGGTAGGGGAGACAGAGTTAACCTCTTGATTCAGTAGTGATAGCAACTGACAATATGGTTGTTTTCTGCAAGAGGCTAGTATCAGAAATATTTACATTTATGCCATCTTAGGAACACATACAAGACCCCTTAGGAGTCTAAATATGCTTCTTCCTAATGTTGCAGTGGCTAATAGTTAGAGCAGACTGCTAGGCATATCAATCAATGCCATGGCTAGTGAATTACCTACCGGTGTCTCTGATATGTTACTGCAGAGATTACACTTCATGCATCACCACATTCATTTCTTTCACATTACACATGAGCTTGTCTTGTCACTGCCCAATTGCCCTCTTTTGGACAGCTTAACTGATGTACTATAACAATGAACCCTAGTGAGAAAACTTAATAGTATAGGAGCGGTGGGAAAAGATGAGAGAGGGTGAAGCATGAGTCCAAAAGGTGGGGCAGAGCAGCCTTCCTTGTTTCCAACAATAAACCAGAGGGTGTAATTAATACGCCTTGTAACACATGCAAGCCCACAAATGTATTCTTGGCCTGTGTGGCCTTCCTCTTCCCCATGTAAAGACTCAGTCTCACAGAGTTTCCATCTGATCAGCACTAGAAGAGATACTATGCACCAAGCAACTGAGACATCATGGCAGAAAGGTGGCGAAGGGCAACAGGGAAGTCAAAGGAGGGAAAAGCACTGGTCTGAACACGAGAAGCCAAAATAAAAACGAAAACAACAACGCTAGAAAGAGCAAAAGGGGAAATAGCAAGTCAGGCACAGTGGCTCATGTCTGTGATCCCAGTTCACAAGTACCCAAGGGAGGAGGATCACTTGCGCTTAGGAGTTTAACAGCAGCCTGGGAAACGTGAAGAGGACTCCGCCTCACAAAAGAAAAAAGAAAAGATGGAAGTGGTGCTGTGGCTCACAGTGGTAGAGCACTAGCCTTGGACACAAAAGCTCAGGGACGGCACCCAGGCCCCGAGAGTTCAAGCCCCATGACCCACTCCCCCCCAAAAAAGAATAGAGCAAAACAAACAAATAAACACAAACAAAACAACCATAAGGAACAAAAGTTGGGTATGGCTGACTCAAGAGATGAGTTAAACTCAGATGCACCCCCCCCGCCCCCCAATCCACAGCACACCAAGTGACTAGACAAATGACCACATATTAAGCAACACAAAGAAGGCCTCACATTTCCAACCTTTTCACAGGCAAGTGAAGCTAAAACACCCAAAGTGGTAGTCACCTGTTTTTAAGGCACATGACATACAGGTTCAGATGTAATAGAACTGGAAGAACACAGGCCTTGAGGAAGCAACTCTAGCCTGTGGTACCATCAGTCAGTCTTTGGTATCTGTGGGATGCCCTCTTGCATACCGAGATCCAAGGATCCCTACTATAAAATGACATGATACTTGCACAGAACCTACACACATCCTCCATCACCTCTGGCTTAGTTATGCCACTTAATAGACCCAATACGAACACTATGGCCATAATCATTATACTGTACTGCTGACAGATGAATGACAAGAAAAAACTATGTGTTCAGAACAGACACAGACATCTTTTATTCTGCATTATGTTCAATCTAGGGTTGAGTAGTTGAGAACCAACTACTTGGAGGGCAAATCAGATTTTAAAACACAGGCGGGCTAGTTTCTCCTAGAAGCCTTCGCCCTCCCTTTGTCTCTCCTTCCTTTCTAGTTCTCACGAATCCACTTGCTTCCATATCACACACGTGAAGTCAGAGGTGCTGAAGCCAAGAGGACACCCCACAACTCTCGTGTTTCTATGTCTTCAATGTCCAACCAACCACCCTGGCATAAGATGTAACTAGTTTTCAAAAGGCATTCATAAAATCTAGGCTCTTCTGTCACTTTTCAAGGAATCCCACTTTCTGAAGAAGAACTAGCAATGAATAAGTAACTAACCTGCTCAAACACCAACAAATATTTTTTTAAAAAAAGAAAGCAAAAGGCAGAAAAAAATCATTAAAAAAAAATAAAGAGACTGACTGCAATCATATATAGAAAAATAATCCGGAATTTATCCTTAGACACTCAGAATCAGCATTGACACAAAGCACTAGTAAGACTTACGAAAGGTATACTACGTCAAATTTGCCTTAAAATGACTAGCAGTAGAAGATAAAGTCTTCCATGGCATCACACTGAGAGGTTCCCAGACTTCATTAGATGTTCAGGAAGGCCAAGGTAGCATTTCACAGTGTCTCCAGACCCGTGCTGATTTACAAGGGATAACACTCCCTCCTGCTGAGCCTTCAGATTCTCCCCAATCTAGTTTCTGACACTGGCAGGCTCTGTAACTTCCATTAAGAGCCCATCAGCTTTGGATTTATAATAATCTGGAAGACGCGAAGAGAGACATGTCACCCTCTCCTCTCCCACGGGGCCATCTTGCTGTCCGTGTAGTCCATGCATACCTTGAGCAAGTGGCTGGAGGGGAAGGGCAGGCTGCCCGGGCTGGATGGTTAAGAGGCCTTGACGCTGCAAAGACAGGAGGTGCTGCTGCTGGAGCTGTTGCATCTGTAAGAGCTGCTGCTGAAAAGCCAACTGCTGGGTAGCCACCTGCTGTTGCTGTAAGAAACGGGGAAAGGAGAAAAAGTAAAACAAAACATGAGATGCCCACTTCCCAAGGAAGGTAACAGTGCAGACCTGTCAAAATTCACCAGCTTCAAACACCGAGAACGTCACGAGATCTCCTGGAGGGCTCAATGTCATCTTTAAAAGGGACGGGAACACACCACATCTGAAGGGCAGTGCGCTACCTTCCTTCCGCTTGCTCCCCTAGGAAGAGGAGTCCTCCACTCACTAAGACACCTTGCCCTCTGGTGGGAACAGCCTGAGTTTGGTAGTCAAGATATGAACTTTGAGACTTTGAAATGTGTAATTATTCAACACTTGAAAGATGACTGCATCATTCCAATCTGGAGGGATTTGAACCCTGAACCTTTGAGGTGTTTAAAAGCACAAGGTGTCTCCTTCCTGGCCTGCATCGGCGGGAGCCTTTAACTACTCTGTTTATCACTTCTGACATAAATAAATGAGAAAAAATCAGACCTTTGAAGAAGAAAAACTTCATCTAATATTGTTAATTAGCCATGACAAACGATGAAATAACATTGTAAATCTTTCATAGAAACAGCCACTAGATTTTAATTACACACATTCATAATTTAGCAAACAACATCGTACTCGACTCTGAGGGCTTAATAGGAATGATACGACACTAAGCTGCAGATCCTTAACTTGGCTTTACTCTCAGAAATGCCTAGGTCTCCTTGCTGGTCCTGAGTCCCTAGTCTGCTTTGTTCTTGAAAAGAAGGGGCTTTAGGATATGATAAATATCTTTTCTTGATTGGACAATGACAGGGGGGAAACTTTTGTTGTGTAAAACATCAATACATCATTCCTGTGTATACTGGGCCTTGCTCCAGCCAAAAAAAAAAATTAATGTAGATTTCCTCAGTAATTATCTGAGTGATAGAAAGATAATACAGTACACTAGTACAATAAATAGAAGGAAATTATCTAATATCCTTAATCTACTAGGAATCATACTGAGGTGGAGGTCCTGGCCACATCATGGCTAACAATTAGCAAAGAAAATTAACCCTTCCCAAACTGGAATAAAAAAATTATAATTTAAAAAAAAATCCTCAAGAAAACAACAAGATCTCTTCCTAATTCTGAGTATCTTATTCACAAGGTCAGAGAGAATTTGGCAACTACAAGGACTACCCAACCCTTTAATAGTCTGCCTGTTCTAGTTAATAACTACACTTCACAAACAAGTGCATTCACTTAACCTAACACATGACCTTGATCTGATACATCTATAAAAGGGCCCGTGTACCAAGACCTTCTGATGCAAAGTTCAAAGAAGAGAAGATCGGGGGCTTCCTCTCAGGCTCCATGTAGTTTATTTTACAGTTTAAAAAAGAGAAAAGAAAAGAAAAAAAGGAAAAGAAAAGAAAAAAAAAAACCATCATTCTCATATTAGCAACCAATTTCAGACTTACTACCACGCCACTGAGAGAGTTAATTGAGTTTCACTCCAAAAAACAAATTCTATACTGGGAACAACAAAAATTTAAATAAATTTAAATGAAAAGCCCGTGTTTTCATTTTAAGAACAGCATGCAGAAAATGATCCAATTGTTTTCACCCCTTCCCATGTTATCACATTAATGTAAAACCCAATGATAGTTATATTCATGTCCAAGTGATTTTTTTCACTCTTTCAACAGATATTAACTTAGGACATTAAAAAAAATGGGGGGTGGGGGAGAGAGAGAAGAAACATTGATACAATAAAAGAGGGGGGATTAGTTCTTGTGGAAGTAGGATATAAGGGGGGGTAGGCTGGTGGGTGGGGAGGGCATTTCCTGTCTTACTGTAAATGAAATGTTTAAAAATTGTGTATTTATATAAAATGACTGATGCCTTTGCTGTTGTCTCTGTAGCCATCCCTAGGAAAGGCTCATGAAAGCTGTCCACGTTTGAAAAGCCAGGATATAAAAGTATACAAGGCCCATTGTCCACAGAAAGAATTTAAAAGCAACACTGGTTGCCAAACTGTGCTCTCCACCCAGTTACCAAACACAGGATACGATTCCATTTGTTTACTTCTCACAATTGAATGCATACAAAAAAGGTCTCTGAACAGTCTCTGACAGGTCAGTCGTCAGTGTTAAAATGCTAAAATACCCTGATAAACCCTGCGTTTCAGATCCCCTCCCTAGAGCCGCAGTCAAAGGTCTGTTTTCCTTTCTTTGGCTACTCCCTACTACCTAACATAAACTGTCATAACTGCCTGGACAAACGGCCCTTTTAAAACAATCAACTCAGCCCACCTCACCCACACAGGATAGCATCTTTTTTTTTTGTCTTCCCCTGCAGCTTGATTTAAAGGGAATTTTGACTCGACATTTCTACACCACTCTTGTCAGTATGAAAGAGTGGTCCGTTTAATGGCCAAGCCTGTTGTGCGTATTTTGGGTCTGACCCAATGTGGAGCCACTTTCTCGAGGAAACATCTCGAGACAACTTTGGGCCAAACATAAATAAATAAATAAATAAATGTTTTTTTTTTTAAATAAAAAAGTGGCAAAGGCATATTGGTTGGGCTGAGGGTCTAGCATTTTACTATAGTAGTAACCCAGAAATAAGAAGGGCAAGATATACTTGACAATACGAAATTATGAGTCTCTAATGACCAGTGGTTCACTAAATTAATAAACTTTATCCATCTGTCAACGTCCAAGTGCAAACCTTGTTAAAATTGTAAATAACCACCAGGCCACATCATGAAACTGCTACCATGTGACTCTTTCTTTTCACACAAAAGGATCATCACCTGCAGGATAATTTCAGGGGACTGGACTTTCCCATCTCAGGAAAGAAAGGACCTTCTTTCTTTACAACAGTGTTGGTCATTGCCAGTCTTGCTCATCTACTGGCATTACCAAGCCTAAAAAGTCCACAAGTGGGCCTCTCTCTGGAGACACTTAAGGCCATCCATCTCGTGGGTCATCTACATTTACCTAAGAGAGAGAACAGTGCTGGACCACAGCAAGCCTACTTGTCTTGGAGATACTCAGATGTGGCTTACCCTGTCCAGGTACAGGCACAAAGTCTTCCCTTTTCACCCTCCTTCCCCAACCCCCCAGCCAGCACCAGCCTGTTGGTGCTTGCCTTCCTGACCAGAGCAATTTGGAAGAGTTAACTTTGTATCCCTCCTTCTGCTGAACAACTTTCTCCATCCCATTTCTTTACCGGTCCTTGGAGCTCCTCTGAACTTTCATGTGCTCCCAGAGTGCAGACATGCATTCCAAACTATGTCTAACAGACCAAATAGGAGGTTAATAAGAAGTGGCAAGAGAAAGGAAGAACACAATCCCTGGTAACTGATAAGAATGACAGTGGCAACCCTTTTTTGTTTGTCTTCAAATATAGAGTTAAAGATCTTTAAAAAACTAAATTTTGATGCCTTTGAAAAGAAAGGAGCACAAAATAACAACAGGGGGTTATTGCCTGCAAGCCACAGGGGAGAAACTCCGCGATTCTTATTCTCCCTTTTGAAGGCTGTTAGAAATCGGATTCAAAAAAGCAACAGCAGAAGGGAAAACCTCTTGAGGCTGTAACCATTTCCTGTGATCATGCATAATGTGCTCCAAAAGGGGGTTTTTACCAATTCTGTTGATCAATTGCACCTCCTTCATATCCCTTCTTTTTTCTGCTCTGTTTACATCTGATGTGTCTCAATGACAAGCACTGTCTGAGACTGTGAAACAGGCCTGTCATGTTGATTTATGGGCGCATCAAACCACAACTTGTCCAAACTGAAGCTCGCAGTTCATTAATTAGAGAGTTGTGACTTTGAAGTCAGCTTTCAGACTGTGGTTTTTAACATTTGGCTTAATTTATATGCTCTTGAATGTGGATCTCTAAGGAAAAAAACTGAAATTCCCTTCTTGTCTTTGAACTTCTTTTGACCGCACAATAATCATTTCTTTGTCCAAAGTGATGCCTGCAATCCCAGAGTCATTAACGCGCATTGAACTGCCACTGATGAGTAAGCCCTGCTGAATTAGAAAAACAGCCAGCAAAACAAAGCTGAGAACCTTCTGCACAGTGATATCTCACAATTACATGCCTTCCCTCCCTGTGCCATTTCCATTTTAATTACTGTTAGTCCTTTAGATTTACATTTTAGACACTTTTTAATCTGTTCCCTTTTTTATTATAGCAGCACCCGGTAGCGCGCCACTGTACTTAAGGTTGTGTCAGCATTTTCATTAAAACACCTCCTCCCTTTCACCCCAAAACTGCCCCTACTCTGCAGGGGTTTACAGGCAGCCTGCTAAACAGGACTCTAGGGTGAAAACTTGGCAGAGAACGGGAAATGTACCCAATTTGTGTAGAGGGAGGAGCCGGTCCAGGGAGACCGTCTGGGTCACTCCTGTGTGTAAAATTAGCGCTGTCTGAATTTATACTCATGCGAAGGACAGGGACGTGCAGAGTGAGCGGGAAGACTCCTTTCCTCCCTGCGAATGGAAGTAGTAGCCAAATGCAGAGGGCCCTTGCAGAAGCCGTGAAAGGAGACCAAGCACCGTTCAAAGAATTATAAAATATGCCATCCCTAGGACAACATGTAAGCCTACTGGCCCACTCTAAAACCACATGGGGACACATTGAATTATTGGAGAACTCTATACTGGGGAGAAGATGTGGTAATAAGGCATAGGTGTAAAACTCCCTGATGCAGTCTTACCCACAATGCACTGTACAGCCGGTGAGCTGGAAGGCCTCATATTCTGTCCAGGACTACAACTGTCTATCCTGGGTAGGGTGGTCCAAAATACTAACTTACAGACACCACAAAGCACTAAGCACACAGAAACTCATAGACCATATCGTCTTGCCCCTAAGTAATCATGCATATCCCAAGCCAGTGTCTCCCTTAACTGGAGTGTGTGCCTTTTGCAATTATGATATGCACACCTTTCTAAAGGAAGTTAAAGATGGGGATATTTGATCATGCTCTAACTTTCTTATTTCTTATTTCAGAGTTAGTCTTCTCATGGAAAAGGACATCACTGCTCATCCAAACGCCCACAGCTGGCAAAAAGAAAAAAAAAAAAGTATGTCCCAGAAAATCTCGTGTCACTCCTCCTAACTACAGGCTAGCCCTCAGTTATGTCAGTTGGCCGAAGTAGCCCATGTTATTCTACCCACAATCCTCCTGGTCTTCCTCTCACAGATCCGCATGCAGCCATAGGGTAAAAATATGTGGCCGCCAGCAAATGGAACCCAAGGAAATAAAAAAAAAAAATCTGAACACAAACAGGACAATAACTCTCGGTCTGAAAGCTGAGAAGCGATAGAGTCAGCTCCGTTGTGCAATCATTTAAAAGATGAATGACAGTTTAATAGCCACGAGATAGTCCTCTGGGATCTGTGGTTTGAAAGTAAAATATGGATGGTCGTCGGTACCTCTTTCGGCTGTTTCCCAACATGTTGTTGTTGTAAAAGTTGAAGCTGCAACTGTTCTTGTTGTTTTTTATAAAACTCTTGAAGCTGCTGCTACAAAGGAAAGAGAAAAACGGTAAGTAACGCGGGGCAGTGCCAAGCCACTGTCTTTTTCGGTGCCATACACAAACTGTGACTTGAAAAATAGCATCCTTTTATCTGTAATGGCCTGACCTTTAGTTTGATACTCAACAATAAATTCCACACACACTGACTATTCTTGGCGTTATTGTTTGAGAACTAATCTCAAGAATGAACTGATGAAAAACATACCATTTTTCTCACAAACTAATTAAAATAAAACAAGGAATGACCTTTGCTTGTACAACAAAGGCAGCATGCCCTTGTTTTGAGTGCTGAGTCTCCACCACTAGCTTTCTAGATGCGGGCGTGGGGCAGGATGGACCGGTGGTCATGTCAATGTGGGCCACTGGCAGTTTTGGGTGCTTCCTTTGCATCCTGTCCTTATCACCCAGTACCAGTAACTCCTCCCCTGTAGCACTCTGCCTCATCTGTGCTGTCCAGGTGTCTGTCAAGTAAGAATGTCAGATCCCCGTGACACCACCGGGGAAGCCAGAAGTTCAATTCAACATCAGCCTCTACAGAGGGAGTTAAAAAACAAAAACGAGAAGAACAAACAAACAACTCTGTGTCTCAAAACTAACCGACACCAAAGTGCTTCTTCATGTTAAAGGCAAAAATAAAATTGTGGAGCTTCCAAGTTGAAATGGGGACTTCAAGAGCTGTCATATTTAAAGCTGCCCCAGACGTGCTCCTTGTTTTGCTTTGATTCACATCATTTCGAAGCCGCCAGGCTTACCAAATAAAAGAGTGTAAAGCCACGTAAGCCTAAAAGATCTTTTCCCTTCCACCAAGTCCAATTACAGCCCTAATCTCAGTCCGCGGGGTATGGTGCAGGCCTGGGCTCTAGACACTGCTGGGAAGGACTTCTCTCCTTCAGGGATGCGAAGGCAGCTGATCAGGCAGGGCTGGGTTTGGGCACTGCCCCACCCAGCCTGCTCCAGGTGGTGAGGCATTGTGAATGGAGTTTGGGGCCTTGGGTTGGACTGGCACTGGAGGAAGAGCAGGAGGAGGAGAACCGTTACCTGTTGGAGCATGAGGGCCTGCTGCTGTTGGAGGAGAACCTGGAGCTGCTGAGGGCTCAGCACTTGCTGCTGGAGGATCTGCTGCATTTGCTGGGGAGTGATAACTTGAGGTGTCATCATAGCCACTGACACGGGAACCTAGAAAGGTAATCAACCAAGGGTGAAAAGGAAGCCAGGTGATCTTGAGCGTAGCATACAGCCTCCCAAGTTCAAGGGCAGGCAGCCATCCACTTAAAGAAATGACCAATTTCTCATATAATCATATATAGGCATCCAAAGGGGACACAGCCACAAATCCTGTGTCAACTCCTATGGAGTTTATTCCTATTCTGAGTAGTCACTATTCAGGGATTTTACATATTGGGCAAGTGCACTACCACTGAGTTATTAACCCCCCACCCCCTCACTCCAGTAATTTTAATTACTCAGGAGTTAATGAAACAAATTTCATTAACTCAGGAAGCAGAGATGTGAAGATCACAGTTTGAGGCCAGACTGGGCAGAAAACTTTATGAGATTCTTATCTCCAATTCATCACCAAAAAGCTGAAATTAGAGCTGTGGCTCAAGTCAAAGAGTGCTAGCCTTGAGTAAAAACCTCAGGGACAGTGGTGCCCAGGCTCTGAGTTCAAATTCTTCTACTCTCAGGTGTGAAGCACATACACATGAAAGAAAGAAAGAGGGGTGAGGGAGGAGGGAGAGAGAGGGAAGGAAGGAGAAAAAGGGAAAAGAAAGAAAATTGCACAGAGAGGGTAGTTATAATATGCTGGCAAGGGGGGGGGGGGGACTTGATCAATTGTATCAGGACTGCAAACAACAATCACAATTTCTCATTAGGAACAATACTTTGATCAAAATGAGCTATAGGATGTGAATCCAAACTTGAATCCTGTTTTAAAGAAGGCCAATGAGAAGAAATCACTTTGCAGTTGGAGCTTACATATCCCACTTTTCTGTGATCAATGATTTTTAAGAGCAATCCCTGAATACTCAGACTGGCAGAGACCGGAACCTCAGATGCACCTTCCAAACTTGAACACAGACCCCTCCTATGATGCCTTTCGACCTTCCTTATTCACCTAGCATCCAGATGTCTCCATTCTTTCACACTACGTTCGATACCATTAAAAGCTGCTTTCCATGACATTTCAGTGACAAACAGCTATCGTGATGAACTTGATAGCATTTCATATTTGCAACTGTTAACACATTTCTGCACGGGCATCTTTGCAGGGAACCTGCACACTGTATCTGAAAGGATGATGTCTTGTTCAGATAAAACACTGACATTAAAATGACAGGCTGTCTTGGCCAAGGTTACACAAATTGTATTCAAGCGGATACCTAATGACAATGCTATGAATTCTGCAAGCTTTCTAGAATGTAATTTAGCTATTCAAAATAATCACTGCACTTGTGTTTAATTTGCAGACTACATGAGAACCATTTTGTCAGTCCCCGTAATGCAAGAACACTATTTCATGAAAAATCAACCCCCCCCAGTAAAAAAAGATAAGAAAAGAAAAAAAATGAAAGAAAAGACAAAACCCGTCCGTCTTCTAAGAGTAATATTTAAGCATCTTACTTTTTTTTTGGTTTCTAATCAAACAAGTGACAGCAAGAAGCTAGAAGCAGTAAAGGATATACTTTGTTAAAAAGGATCTACTGTCATCTCATGTATTACAATAAAAGGTAATAACATGTTTTGCACTTTGCCTGTGAGCCACTTTTAAAAAAAATTCCCGCAGACAATAGCTGATCAGAAGATAAAAGAATTTTAAAAAAATCTTTCAGGGGAACAGTAAGCAAAAAGGGAGAACTGCAGTATTAATTTTATGTAACATAATGTCTTAATATGCAGTTTATCTTGACTTTTTCACATGATTTGTCCTGTCATTTGCATAGCGAGCTCTCATTCCTAATTTCACAGTCATTATGCACTGATGTCCCGATTTCTCAGCATCACTAATTTTGATGAACTAAAAATGGTTCCTGAAGGTCAGATTCATGTACAGCGGATGTTCTTCTACTGGATGTTGTGGCATGGGTGTTGATGGGCAAGTTTCTAGTGTTTAGAAAACACTAGGTAGAGCGTTTGAAAAAAATTTCATTAACCCAACTCTGGAAGGTCATCTATGAATCCATTCTACTGCAGTGGCCTTTTAAGTGTGGATGCAGAAACACTGTAATTTAAAACAGATGGGCATGTCTGAATATTTTTTATATGCAAAAAGGGACAGATGTATATGAATGGATAAATTATCCTTTTAAAAAGATAATTCACAGCATGAAATATCACCAATGATTGGAACAGTGAACTTGCGTTCAGTCTAGGGCAAACGCCAAGAAGACATTATCAAAACATCTAACCATCTACAAATTAATTCCAATTAGTCGACTTTGTCTTCAGACGGAAGAAACTTTTTGAATTTTTAAATATGTACTGGCTTGTCAATCACTATCTTTTGAGCAGCTGAAGCCAAACCATCACAATAGAAGTTTACTTTTCCTTGAGAGTTGCCACAGCACCATACAGGGAGTTCTGATTAAGCAAACAAAAGAACCATGTTTAAGGTTTCTTCTTTTCCCCCTGCATTTCTTGGATGATGTACAACATAAATATTCACCAGCCAAATTTCTGATGGCGATGAACGGGAAAACACAGGAATAGGGTGGTGCAAACTTGAAACTGAGGATGAACATGTAACTTCACAGAGTGTTCATAGAAATCAGTACAGAAGTGATCCCCTTGCATGCATTGAAAATGACCTAATTTGTAAAAGAGCTATGGAAATCCTATGTGAGATAGAGGTACATGCTAACTTTGGGGGCGATGGAAATGCTGGTTATTTTGATAAAGGTGGCTGGCCATACTTACATACATATATGCTTAAAAAGATTATTTTACAGTACATAAACTGTCCCTCAACCAAATGGATTTAAAAAGTTACCTATAGTACATAGACATGTGAAATTGGTAGATGATAGATTATGTATATGGATAGCTTTCTTAAGTCTGGTAAATAGCATGCATCTTCTTAAATGAGAAACACCACTGTCCCTTGCCTAGCAATAAACCGACGGGGCTCAAGGGAAGAGACTGACATACATGGATATTTTTTTAAACCCCCACAGACCGATAGGAGTATAACTCCCTCTCCCAGTTACTTGCTCATTGTTCACAGACATGCCGCCCAACAAGAGAATGAACTTGACTCGGGCCTGCTTTTTCCCTTTGGACATTATGATGGAAGGTCTGATGAGTAATAAAATGCTTCCAGCAGCAGGCACAACCCAGGGAAGGACTGGAACAAGAAGCTTGAGTAATCCTCCAAACCCTCTGATCAGTCTCTGAATAAGCAGAAGTGGGCCATTATATTTCGATGGCCTGAACTTGGCTTTTACTATCTGAAAGCACATTTTCACACCAGTTTAGCTATGGGCCTCCAGTGTGGGCTGGGGCTTAATTTATAAATGCAATAAAACTGCACATCCCCGCATCTTCCCCCACCCCCAAGTTTCTGCTCCAACATGTCAGGAAGAGAAGTTATGAAAAGCTTTAACAAACATACTCCAATGGACCAGAAACTATGGTAGGGTGGAAAAGAAAAAAGAAAAAAAATCAGTACAGTTTAAGCCTTTAAATAGTTAAGAACTATAGCCTATCTATGCACTCTCAATTCCCAGCGTCCAACTTTCTCCTATAGCTAGTCACTACTAATACTGAGAATCAAAGGGCATGCAGGACCAGAGAGGGGCTATTACAGCCCACATTTTATTGGCCATTACTACCGAGGTCATTAGCGGCAAGAGTGATTGTAGCAGTCTTAACCTATTGATCACTGTAACTACTATCATTTAATCCTGTGTTGAATGTCTCAAAAGCGGCTAAAGGCTCACAAGAGAGAGCGCTTGAGCATTGAGAAATATGGCCAAAGCTTAGAAATTACACTTTGATTCATAAAATCTAGCCAGTGGTTTAAATCAATAGTATTTAAAACAGTCTTGTGAGTTTTTAACTACAGCGACCTAATATTTATGGGCCCCTCTTTGAGAGTACTTAGTGAAAATGAAACTTTTTTTTCTTTCTTTTCTTCCCCCTCCCAATCCAGGCTTACCCACTTTACGTTCCCTGAGATAACACAACATTCATTTCTCATGGTTTGTATAACCACAAGGCTCATGCCTTACCTGAGTGTTCTAGCTAATACTAGATTTCCCTCTCTCACATAAGATAATTTAAATATAAGCCCCCCTCCAATATCCTTGATACTGTAACTATGTTAACTGTTTGAGTATACAGAAATGAGTAGGTCTTATGAGTTAACAATGAATCATAGAAGGTAATTTATGAAGAACTAGAATGATTCGGTCTAGCTGCCTTCAGGGATCAGAAATTCAAATTAAACTTCTGGCAGACATTTAAAGAATGGTAGCATACAAAACTGAATTTAAACACACTCTCACACACACATACATTTAACACTCTTTAGTGGAGTTTCAAGAGGAAATCATGAATTGAAAAAAAGTGTGTGTGATGGGGGGGGCACGGCCTGATATTCTGTTGACTGATAGAAACTGGGTGTGGTCAATCCCAGGTGCACAGAGACCCCTGAGAATGGCAGAAATAGAGCTGTTCTGGGGCCATCCCCAGCTGCTGGTGGCTCAAGCCTGCTGTACCAGTGACTATCTTAGAAGCCCTGACAGTGCTGTGTGAATTCTGCCTGATCCAGTTTGCTTTTTCTCTAAAATGAATCTACATCATCTGAAAGCCTGGAAGACTATTAAAATAATGTCTCTATTTTTCCAACCCCTCCCCTGCTTCTCGCCCATGGGGAGGAGGGGAGGTAGGGGATGGGAAGACAGGGGGAAAAAAATCTGAAAAGCAAACAAACAAATAAAAAAAAAACACATTCCCAGAAACAATACTCCTTCCTAATCCAGGAGACAATTGAAGGAATTGGGTGGGAGGTAAGATGGGCACAATATAAATACTGAAAAACAAAACATGTTATCATTTTTTTCTCTGCCTTTAGTTTACATTCAAGTTAACTACAAGTAAATAGTGCCCAGTGTAAACCTGAATAGATTTTGGCACATGACCACTTCCTTGTTAATGGCTAGGTGTGCAAATAATAA